CACACACACACACACACACACACACACACACACACACACACACACACACACACACACATGAGAGAACCTGATGGAACTGGGCGCTGTCGCCACGCTGCAGCTGAAGCACAACTTTGCTGTTTGTGGCCCGTTTGTGTTAGAAGTTGTGTATTTTATGATTTCTTTACGTTGCTAGTAGCTGCTGTTTTCAGTTGAGTTTCGCAGCTTCTGTGAAAAACTCTACTTTTTTGTGCTTTTTTGCTTCGCCCTCCTCCTCCTCCTCCTCCTCCTCCTCCTCCTCCTCTTCGTCCCGTAGAGCAGCTGGAGCGAATAGAGGAGGGTCTGGATCAGATCAACTCTGACATGAAGGAGGCGGAGAAAAACCTGACAGACCTGGGGAAGTGCTGCGGCCTCTGCACCTGTGAGAAGTAGGTGCAGGTGTGTTTGTTCGTTAAATAAATAACCACCTGAAAGTAAACGTCAGCGTTCAACCTGCAGCACTTCTGTTAATCATTACCTCAAACTCAGAGCAGTTTGATCTGAAACGTTTCAGCAGCTCTTTGTTTTTGTTGCCTGCTTGCTTCATTGTGTTTGTTGTTGTTTTACCTGATCCCTGCTGGGCCTCACCTGTCCCCACCGCAGGGGCGGAGCCAGACCTTTTCTGCAAGGTGTTATTTATGGAGGGACACATAAATAAAGAAAACTACACTGGATTAAAAAAATCAAGATGGCCACCGCAGCAAATTTCCAATGAGCAGTTCAGCTGTTTATAKATTTATTGAGCTGACACTTTGTGTGATAATAGCCAAGAATTATCAAGAAAAAAACACGCTAGGCACAATTTCAAGCTAACCGCTTATGCTAATTTAGCAAAGAGCTATAATTCGGTAATATTTGGACAAATAAAACTGAAACTTAACAGTTTTAACTGAAAACAATCGTGTTAAAATTCTAAATGCTAATTAAAAATATAAGCATCACAGCTAAATTTAAATGTCTATAATTCGGACATTCTTTGTTGTGGCGTAGCCAAAAGCAGGGCTCTCAAGTTTGGACGCTTGGAGTGAGATATCCTTAGTGTCTGCATGATTTTACCATTTTAAATTACTTTAACAGTTTTTTTGTAGGACTTTGAGATTTTTGTTAATGAAAAGTGCAGTACAAATTAAATTCATTATTATTATTATTATTATTATTATTATTATTATTATTATTATTATTATATCGAGCAGCTGAACACTGTTGCCACTCCTCAGTTAGAAAAGTTGTTTTTGGCGCTCCAAATATTACCAAATAACATCATTGTACAATTTTCATATTTGTTTTTTCTGTTTTTTTTTTCCCCAACAATTGTGTTTGGAGCTGTACGGTATTTAATGAAGGAGAAAGCAGTGTGTAAAATCACTCTGGTGGGGGGTCTGGGGGTCCTCCCCCCTGATAATTTTGAATGAAGTATAATTTCCTGCATTGTGCTGTATTTTAACAGACTGTTAAACATATTTTATACCTACAGAAGTAAACATTTGGTGAGAGTATTCTATAGGTCAAGTGGAAAAGGTTCTCAAATGTTTTTTGGGGGGGACCCCATATAAGGTTAAAACATTTTCAAGGACCCCCTCATAAAACCCAAGCTGTTTTAAAAATAATTTACTGTCATTTTAATCACGGTCATTTGTTGTAGTACTCAGCTGAAAATTTATGTAGTAATATCCAAAAATCTTTAATCTTTAAAAAATTTAAATACAAATACAAAATTCATGATGGCACCAAAGCTAATTTCAAATAGTCATACCTCGTCCATTTTTTAGAAATATTGAGCTGAATGGTGGTAGAGGAGCAATCCACGTTTGTTTGTTTGTTTATCKTAATTTTAAGCTAAAGGCTAATGCTAATTTGAGAGACACACATAAAGTTAAAAATTATCGTAATAATAGCCGACAATAGTTTTTAACAAATTCTGAATGTAAGTAAGTAAACAAAATAAAAACAAGAAAGTAAAATAGTAAAATAAAACATCACAGCATTACAGTCAACAATACAAGTAGTAAAAAATAAACACTTAGCTAAAAGCCTGTTTGTAAAAGAAAGTTTTCAGATGTTTTTTGAAATGCAAACTGAGTTTTTTTTATTTAAATATTAAGCTGAAATTTAGTAGCTGAGAGTGATGCCCAACAGATTCTAAATTTAAAATGTATTTACGAAGTACATGGAATACAAATTTAGCTAGTTTTGGACATTTTGAGCAGAAATTTGTTGTGGTGGATTTGTTGCTTTATATTAATTCAGTGCTTTAACTCAGATAGCACAACTGCAAAACCTATATTTACTCTGTTTTTACTCTAACTGACCATCTTTTAGTACCACCCACACCTGTCAATCATTTGGGGGTGGCACCTGGGGTGGCCAATCAGCTGCCAGGGATGGCCACCCCAGCCCCCACCCTCTGGCTCCGCCCCTGCCWCACCAGCTGACAGGTRRTCATGWGGACAGGTAAAACCTCTGTTGGTCCCCCTCAGGTTGAAGGCCTTCGAGGACAGCGGGGCCTACAAGGCGGTTTGGGGCGGAGCCTCCAGTCGGGACGGGGTCGTGTCCAATCAGCCGCCGTCGTCTCGAGTCGTCGACGAGCGAGAGCAGATGGTCATGAGCGGAGGATACATCCGCAGGTACAGGGCTCACTGAGGCCTGTTTGCTTTTCTTTACAAACACCTGACAGGTGACTGAGTCGTCAGGCAGCTGCTCAAACACACAAACACAGAGACAGGAAGTCCCGCCCCCTCTAAGCTTCGAAGCTCTCCTGTGCCTCAGGCTGACGAACGACGCCCGGGAGGACGAGATGGAGGAGAACCTGGCCCACGTCGGCAGCATCGTGGGCAATCTGAAAAGCATGGCTCTGGACATCGGCAACGAGCTGGAGTCGCAGAACGATCAGATCGATCGCATCCAGGAGAAGGTTGGTCCCGACACGGCGTGCAACTGTTGTCGCTTTGTGTCCCCAGGAAACACACAAACCCCCTGCAGAAACTCACACAGATTATTTTCATTCCGACCCCAACCTTTGTCTGTGCAGGCGAACCTGAACGTGTCCCGCATCAACGCTGCCAACCAGAAGGCCAACAGCCTGATGAAACGATAGGCGGGCCCTGCAGAACCTGCAGCTGAGAGCCTCTGACTTCCTGTTCTGTGTTGTTGTTGTTGTTGAGCTCATTCAGGATTATTTCTCACGTGGAGCCGTAGTTTAGTTGCATCCCTGTGGTTTTAACGTCACCAAGCAAAGAGTTCAGGTCTGCAAATGTTTTTTTTTTCATGTAAGTAGGTCACTGCAGCAGAACCAGCCACCACACAATCAGACTAATGGAAAAACTCAAAACAGTGAGCGTGAGGACATTCACGCACAACCAGTGGTTTCTTTGGGTTTGGGTGCATTTTAAGCCAAAAAAATGTTTATTTTTTAAGAATAACTTTCTCAGTATATGTTCAAAAAACTAACCTCCCACCACCAGTCCACTCTTAAAATGTCTGAATTTGTTTGAACCTGTGTGTCAGCGCGCCCTCCTGAGGCCACACCAGGTATCGCACGCAGGAAATAAACACGCTTTTTCTCCTCAGAGGAAGCTCTCTAGCGACACCAAGTGGACAAACGTGAAACTGCAGCTTCCTGGTGTCTCCATCTTCTCTCCTCCTCCTCCTGTAGCCTGAAATGGTGGAGAAACAACGCGATGGATTCATGTTCATCAGTCATAAAAAAAAAACATTAAGATTTATTAAAGAAAAGCCAAAACATACATAATTATTAGCTTGTTGTGGATTATATGAAGCATAATTGTGTTTTTGCACTTTTTATGAAAACTAATTTGTTTTATTCAGCTACCAGTTTTTGTTTCTCACAGTCTTGAGGTTTATTTATAAGGACAAATATAATATAAGGACAAAGCACTAATAGGAGTGTACCTTTTGTGGTTTTATGAAACTATTAATTAAAATGTTTGTGCAAACATTTGATGTCATGAATTATGTAGACTGACAGGTGGGGCTGAATGACACCTGCAAAAAAAAAAGTCTTAACATGAGGTTGTTTTGTAAGAAAATAATTCTCGTTAAAGCGATTATTTATACGCTAACTGTAGTTAACGCAAATTTTATCTCTGCGATGGATCGTAGTCCGGTTTATCTTTATTTTAATGCTGATTGTTCTGTTTAAAAACACTCATTCTTACAGAATCATCACTACTTTTCAGAATTTTTATCAATAATTGTGGTTTTTGCAGAATTTGTGTTTATTTGTTCATTATAAATGGGATGTAATTCAGTATCCAGGCCGGCAGGGGGCGCGCACCGATATTAAAATGTTGCGCGTTCAACGGGAAAAAAAAAAAAAAAAAGATCGCAGGCTCTGCGGAGTCTGCGCATTTCTCCCCGCTCCGAACTTTCGGGAGAACCCAGGAGGAAGGAGGGGAGGATCAACGCCATTTTTTTCCTGGTAATTATTTCCCTCCCAGACCCAGATTTCATGTAACGCCACAGATCTGGAGTCGTTTTAGCGCAGCGCGCTGCGTGCGTCCCGCAAAGCGCGGCGGCGAGGAGGAAGAGCGCAAATCCGGCGGCGAGCAGACATTCTCGCCCCGCATCGCGGCCGCCGACAGCCGCGGGTATTTCCACGGGAATGCGCGGAGGTTTGGACCGCGAGGTTCCCGGGGGGCGACTCTCCGGACCCGCGCCGACATCCGAACCCCGGCTCGGTCCGATTGTTTCCGCTGCACGAGCTGTAATGTCGGTGCGGGTCACGGAGATGGCGGAGCGACCCGACCGAACCATCAGGGAGGAGAGGCAGCACGAGCTCTTAACAAAGATACCGGAGGACGGCCGCTGATTGGCTCGGACCAGTCACGTGACCAGACGCAACGTTAAATTAAATGCGTAAAAAGTGTATTGCAATTAGACTTACGTACAGTGGCGTCACTAGGCCTATATTAGGGGGGCTGGAGCCCCCCTGAAATATTTTAAAGCCCCCCTAAATTATTTTGGTGTAAAAAAAATTGTTTTATTTATTTTTACAAAAATTCAATATGATGTGGTCAGAATAAATAACCATTTAATATTTCATTGACTAAAATATATGATCATAAATCTGTCAGTTTCCCTTTAATTTATGTTGTAAAATAGTTTTAATGTTCAGTTTTGGGTATTTTTGAGTTGATGTTAAATTATTATTTGGCCTTGAATGATTTAAAAATAAGTATGGAAAAAATAATAATCTGAAAGTGTAGGTGTGGTTCTCTAAATAAATGTTACTGAAATGATACTTTGCACTGTATACACACACACACACCCACACACACGCACACACACACACACACACACACACACACACACACACACACACACACACACACACACACACTACAAATATATAATATACAAAAATTATGTGCGTCTCCTGGGGGCTAACCCCCCTTGTCCTTAAAACCTAGTGACACCCCTGCTTACTTATGATTATTTTTCGCAACTCAGGCGTTAACAAAATAAGATCAAACAGATATTAGAATAAAAAAGGGTAATTTAAACAATACAAATAGAGATAAAGGGGAGAATGTTTTATTTATTTTTATTTCAATTACATTTCATATCATCTGCTTTTTATTTATTTATCTGCACAGAGTGCAATYATAATATAATTTACCTTGAACTAACCCTTCTCAGTGCAGGTCCAGGGTTTTACAGGACAGTCCAGGTGCAGGGAGAACCATGTCGACCCCGTGGCAGGAAGAGGATGACGAGTTAAAAGCAGGAGTAAAAGGACTGAAACCCAAACCCAGGTTCTCCTTCAACGAGATTCGGGTGCTGCTGGACGCCGTGAAGAGGAACAGATTCATCCTGCTCAGTGAGTTAAAGGACTTGTTGGACACAGGTGGACAGTGCGTCCTGACAGCTAAAGCTCACATGGTGTCTCCTCCTCTGTAGGGAAGTTTAACCAGGGTGTGTCCACAGACACCAAGAAACAGACCTGGGCTGAGATCACGAACCAGGTCAACGGTTTGGGAGAGAACCACAGAGAGGTTTGTTACGTCTTCATCAGTCACTCGTTGCTCTCAGAACGTTGCGTCACGTCAGAAATGTTTTCTTTAAAAGGTGCGGCAGATCATGAAGAAATGGACCGACCTGAAATGTGACGGGAAGCGTCGCATCATGGCGTCACGGGGCCCCAACGGAGTCAAGCTGAGGAAGAAGATCCTGGGCCCCGTGGAGAGGATGGTCCACAAGATCCTGATGATGAGTCCTACTGGAGGAGGTGAGGCCGAGTGASATACATTTAGAGAACATCTGAGAAGTTAGGGCTTTTATTTTGAAATTTAAAATACAGACTASAATAAAAATCTGAGTGATATATCTTTGAATTAACAGTTGAAAAGACCAAAGTTTGACTTTAGAGCCTGGGTAGTTTGTCCCTCTGGGCTTCCGTAGAGTTTAACAGAATTTATTTTTAATTTTTACTGATAAAGTCTCAGACCTTAGGGGACCTGTTAGTCTCCATCCACCATCTTTTTCAGAAATATCACAGTGTTCAGCTGTCCGTCATCAGTTTGAGTCTGTATCTTTATCCCATTCATCTGAAATTGTTAGTCATTTAACGCAGACTAACTGGCCTTTGGATTGCCTACCTGCTCGATTATTTAAAGACGTTTTGYCACAATTTGGTCATTTATCCTTGTTTTGATAAATACGTTGCTTCAGTCAGGTTGTGTCCCAGCTGATTTAAAAAAAGCTGTGGTGCAGCCTCTTATTAAAAAAATCAAAACTTGGACCGTAGCATTTATGCAAATTTCAGACCTAACTCTAAATTGCRTTTTCTTTCTAATGTGCTTGAAAAGATTGTGTGTATCCAACTTCAGTCTTTTCTTATTGTATTAATGAGAAATTTCATTCTGGGTTTAAAGCTGGCCACAGCACTGAAACTGCCTTACTTAGAGTTTTTAATKATCTTCTCCTAACTGTGGACTCTGGGGATGTTGCTGCCTTGTTGTTATTAGATCTAAGTGCAGCTTTGGATACCTTAGATCATGGCATCCTCCTGTCTTGGTTGAAACACTGTGTTGGTCTGGGGTGTTCTGGCGTGGTTTAAGTCATATTTGACGGAGAGGAACTACTCTGTTCATTTAGATCACTGTTCCTCTGCCGAAGCACCTTTAGGGTATGGAGTCCCTCAGGGTTCAGTTCTGGGCTCTGTTTTGTTTTCACTGTATATGCTGCCTCTTCGACACATTTTTAGAAAGTGTAATATTTAACTAGACATGGGTTTTTACGATGTAAAAACAAGTGTGCATTGCCATGTAGCGTGTCATTGCAGCATGGCTTTGCCTGCAGCATTGGACTTGCAGAATGAGCTCTGACCAGGATCAAATATGTTTTCTAAACCTG